CATGTTGTACCATCGTATAGATTCACTGGTTTGTGCTTCTATCCTCCTTTCCTCAGTTACCTTGTCACGGTGATGTTGCCTGACAATACCTCTTATTCGTAGTAGAGTCTTGGGTATGAAGTATTCAATATGGTCTCCTTCAGCGCCTTCAGCAGCCAGCACATCTGCTCGTTCATTCCCACATATTCCAACATGGGAGGGGATCCACAGAAACTTGATGACTCTTCCCTGATTAGTAAGTACTCTCACAGCTTTCTTAATTTCAGCGACTATTGCAAGATTTTTTGCCCGATTTTTACTTAGTTTGCAGTGCTGCTTTTGAATCGGTGCAAATCACTGCACCATTAGTGTTCCGTTCAAGAAACCTTAACGCCATAACAATGGCAGTTAGCTCTGCTTGCGTTGAAGAGGCATAGTTCTCAATACGCGCTTTTTGTTCGTTTCTGCGTTGGAAAGTATTATCCTTGATTACCGTGTATGCTGCACCAGCCCTGCCATTGACAGGATTAGATGGCCCGTCAGTGTGGATTTGATCTAGTTCATCTCCGGCTTCTTTATAAATTTCCTCGAGATACTTGTGCTTCATTTCTTGTGGTAACATGTTGGATTTTTTCGTTGCCATTTCATTGATGATGATCTTGCATGAGTCATCCTCCCAGGGAGGTAACCTCTCTACAGGCTCACGGGCTTGCTCAAGCAGGTGAAGCTCTTCAAGGTAGCAGACTGATCTGTGATGCCATTTTTTGCTTCTCCTGTTTCCCCCTGAAAGTAGCATAGAGCTCAGTTTTTTCTTAGCAATATCATTGTAATGGGGATCTCTGGCTATCCTAATTGCAAGCTTAGCATTCAGCTCCTGAATTCTGCTTTTAACACTGGGAAGAGACAACTCCTCTCGTAAATTAGACGTTTTGGCAGTCCTTGGAACTCCAAGAATGATTGTCATGGCTTCATTTTGAATGCTTTCAAGCCTTTTCATATCGCTTTGGGAGTAGGTGCACAGAACTGGTGCGGCATAGTCTATGACGGAGCGCACATCGGCTATGTACATCATTTTAAGCACGGCAATATAGGCTCCATGTCCATTCCAGGTCATAGCTTTCAGTGCCCTGAGTCGACTTTTGCATGTTCCTATGAGTTGATTGAGACTTAAATCTATTAATAAGAAACATGACCTTGAGAAGAAGTATAGGTTAGGAATCATCTCCAAAGAATTTTCTAAGAATTACTCATCATTGCTATCTCTGCTCAGCTCTCTGCTCTGCTCCAAGCTCTGTCTCAACGTCTACGACAATGCTGTATCCAGGACTACTAAATAAATATGAAACTTACTAAACACTGTGTATTTAATTTACCCAACAACGTAGCATAATCGTACGTTACAAATGTGACCTGTAAATAGGGATAGGATTATAGCTTGTGTAGTTAGTTCTAATTAGTCATGCCATTAAGATAATGAGAGACTGTAGTGAGTATGTTTGTACTTGCTGTGCCTCTGTAACCCTTTCCACTACCGCCCACGGGATGGGTATGGGGTGCATAATAAATGAACTAAACTAACTAACTAGCTACAGTGCAAAGAACAGCGCCTCATATTCTATCATACGATCCGTCTGTGAAGATGTGGGTGCATGGCTCCTGGCACTGCGATGCTGCTTATTTGCTTTTCTATGGTGCGCCTTAGGATTGTTTTATAATAGGCAGCCTTTTTCACCGAAGATCTTCTATTACTATTTTGAAGGTAGGCTCCTCCCACGGTGGGAAACAAGTGTGTGAGCAATGTAAGCACACCAATGTTATATGTACTTTCAAAACCCAATGTGCCTTATCGACTTGAGAATGGTCCAGGACGGACCGAAACGTCGTCGTCCCTTCAACTTCTAGTGTGTGGTCTGGTCAACGTGCCTTATTGAATTAAATAAATAAATATATAAATATATAAATAATAATATTAATAATAATTTTATTTAGGAAAAGTACATACATAGTTACAGAGTTACAGTACAAACATTGTTTGATTTAAAGATAGAAGTTGTACATACAATACCTAAAGCCACTAGTACGCATAGCGTTTCGGGCAAGGTGAGGTGGGGGAAAAAACACTTGGACTAAAACTTAATAGTAATTGAGCTTAAAGTATAAATTACGTTGAAAGAAAACAAAATAATACAAGATAAAAAAAGGGGGAACATGGTAGAAAATAGCCAATATACAAGTTGGTCAACAAACAACATTTTTTATTTAAATACTAAGACATAGGTTGACATTTAGAAGTAAAGTAGATTACATGGAGTTAATTAGGTAGTACTTAGTTTTCCTCTTAAACTGGTTGAGAGAGGTACAATCTTTGATATGATTGGAAAGGTCATTCCACATTCTGGGTCCCTTGATTTGATGATACTACCCTCATCTACTCTAACCCCAACCCACATACACTAAATAATGTTGTTAATAATGAACTAAAAAAGTCCACTTATGGATGTCAACCAACAAACTAACACTTAACATAGAAAAGACCTACTACATCCTATTTGGAAGCAAATCTACAAATGCAATTCAGCTTCAGATAGACAATGTAAACATTAGCAATAAAAATGATGGAAAGTTTCTTGGCCTATTCCTAGACAAGAGACTCAACTTCAGCACCCACATACAACACATAACTAAGAAAGTCTCTAAAACAGTTGGTATACTCTCCAAAATCAGATATTATGTACCTAACTCTGCTCTCATCTCTCTATATTATGCACTAATCTATCCCTATCTTAATTATGGTATCTGTGCATGGGGTTCAACCACTGCAAACCACCTCAAGTCCATCATCACCCAGTAAAAATCTGCTATCAGAGTAATAACAAATTCAGCTTTCAGACAACACTCAGCCCCCTTGTTTAACTCCCTAAACATGCTAAACATAATCTCACTCCACAAATTCTCTTGTGTCAACTACATTTACAAAACCCTGTTCTTAAATGCAAATCATGCTCTGAACTCTCCCTGGACAGATGTAATAGGACCCATTATCACCACACCAGAAATAAATATCTCTTTGATATCCCCAGAGTCAAACTTAATCTGTGTAAACACTCTATGCAAATAAAGGGACCCAGTCTATGGAACTCACTCGCTAATGAATTGAAAAGCTGTCAAACTTTTGCGTCATTCAAAAACAAAACTAAAAAGTACCTAATTTCATCTTCATAGTTTTTTACCTTGTTGCTTTAATATTGCACTGTATCTATTGCTATCCAATCTCCCAATCTTTATGTACCCAATCCGAACATTTTTACCATTGTGATCATTGCTGTCTTCTTATATGTGCTATCGATCTGCTGTATGGTGCCTATTAATCTTGTTTAAATTACCAATCAAGCTGTCAATGTAATCAATCAGAGCTTTAATATACCAATGTGCTTTAATATACTTACTAATCTCTCTCATCTCATTTTTTTCTTGCAATGTAGCTGTTATCATTTTATCAATTCTGCTAGAATTTACCTACTTAAAATTATCTGTTAGATTAAGGACCTGCCCGAAACGCTGCACGTACTAGAGGCATTACAAGATTGTAAATACTATGCTATGTATTCTCACAAACCCACTGTACCTTCTTGTATATAAATAAATAAAATAAATAAATAATAAAATAAAATAAATTTGTAGAGCATTCCTAGTTTGATTAAGTCGTACTCTTGGAATATCAAATAGGTATTTGTTTCTGGTGTGGTGCCCATGAGTTCTGTTACAACCTTCTAGGAAGCGTTGAAGGTCAGGATTGACATTACAATTCAGAGTTTTAAATATATAGAGTACACAAGAGAGGATGTGCAGTGACTTAATGTCTAACATATTCAGAGATTTGAGTAAGGGTACCGAGTGCTGTCTGGGGCCAGAGTTAGATATTGTTCTAATAGCAGCTTTGTGTTGGGTAATTAGAGGACGTAAATGATTTTGGGTAGTAGAACCCTAAGTACAAATACCATAGTTGAGATAAGGATAGATGAGAGAGTAATAGAGCGTCACCAGGCAAGGCGAGGAACATAATATCTGATCTTAGAAAGAATGCCAACAGTTTTAGAAACTTTTTTTGCTATATTTAGAATGTGTCCCTGGAAATTCAGCTTGTTATCGATGAGGACACCAAGGAATTTACCATCAACTTTACTATTGATTTGTATATTGTTTATTCTTAGATTAATTTCATTTGAGGATTTATTACCAAACAAAATATAGAAAGTTTTGCCAATGTTAAGGGTAAGTTTGTTAGCAGTTAGCCAAAGATGGACTTTATTTAGTTCAGTATTCACAATGACATATAAAAACCAAATATAAATAAATAAATAAACCAATGGAACTGCCTACCAGGCGAAGCGTAAATGAAAAAAAACTCTGTTAAACTGTAAAATCCAACTGGAAAAAATAATCAGGGCAAATGGGGCAACCACTGACAAGCCATCGGCTTTCTGTCCTCGTCGAGGTCATTATAGTGTGTTATAGTGACTCAGGTAAATTCAGGTAAGTACCCTATTCCTCAAATTATGCTACAAAGTACCTGTTGATTACCCTCAAATTTTACTTTAATGTACCTACTAATCTGTCAAATTTTCTTACAATGTACTTACCTGTTATAAACATTTTCAATTTTGCTAGAAATTACCTACTGAAAATTACTGTTATATTAAGGACCTGCCCGAAACCCTATGCATGGTAGTGTCTTTATAAGATTGTAAAAACATCAATGCTATGTACTCTCATAAATCCAATGTACCTTCTTGTATATATATAAATAAATAAATAAACAAACTTGAATACGTGGAGAATTGGAATGGACGAATTTCTTAGTCAATGAAATGTTTTTTTACAAAAGATATATTATTATTAGTATCAAAACACTATTGCAATCTATTTTTAATAATTAGATTTGTATTCATAAAACTGGGTGTATCAACAATGAAATTAATTAAAATCTGCGATAAAGTATATTAAGAAATGCTACCAGATGTGGCATGTAAACAAACATGGCGAGCGGGGAGGACGTCACTGACACAATTCCAGAAGTTGACGCAAAATTGGAAGGCCTCACGGTGTCTGGTGAGGCGGAAATGACAAATAACATAAATCAAGAGGAATCTCAAATAACTCCGCTAGAGAATGGCGTAGAAGTACACTGGGGGTTCTCTTTGCAGGAACTCTACAGAATTGCTCTGAAGTTTTATAAAGGTAAGATAAAATTCAGAAAAGCCCTGGGTAAATATTGGTTTGGGAATAGGGTTGCAGATTTATGGAACAGGTTACCAGGTGACATAGTAGACGTGGGATCACTGGCTTGTTTCGCGTGTAGGTTAGACATAAATGAAAATCATTTTGAGGCAATGGAGTGACAACTCTACCGGGTGATTCTCAGACGCCTTCCTTAACTAACTCGGCCACAGTAGTACAAAAGTTGACTAACCCAGAATCCTCCTGAGTTCTCTGGGAGGTTCTGGAGGGCTCAAGCTTAAGCCCAAAAAGGTTTTTTCTAGCCAGTCCGACCACACTCGGGCCTACGGTAATGGTGTTCACACTCTTACGCCCCAATCAGATCGCAAGGGAATCACAATGGCGTGATATATCAATGCAATCTGACTGTCGTGTAAGAGAGTGAACATCATTACCGTAGGCCAAAGTATGGTCCGGTTGGCTAGAAAACCCTGGTTGGGCCCAGGTTTGGGGCTTCCCAGAAAACTCGGTAGGTTTCTGGGTTGGTTACCTTTGTATCACCGTGGCCGAGCGATTAAGGCAGGCTTCTGAGAATCACCAGGTTGCAAGTTAAGTCACACTATTGGTTCTAAGTGATTTTCATTGATATATCATGCCATTGTTATTACATTGTGACATATAAATGAATTTGCTTAGTTATAGATAGAAGCATCTTCTCATGAGCAAATAGGCCTTTTGTGATCATATTTATCCTTATGTTCTTGTTCTAATATGACTCTGGTGCCTGCTTGAGGTTAGACAACCCATAGTGTCAACAAATTCAGACATCATTTATAGTGTTCCCTGAGCATTAGAATGTTCATTTGTGTCTAATACTTGATGTTATATTTTTGTTGTTGCATTCTGTCTTCAACTTTGAGGACTTTGGTTTGACAGGAGTTGTAAGAATTGTAATGGTTGAAACTAGTTAGTTAAATTGGGTTGGATATGGTTAGGTAGGATTAAAATCTGTTTGCAAACCATCTTGGGTACTTGTACCCCTCTGACAACCTTCCCAGCACTGGTCACCCAGTGAACTGTTGTTAAGGAGGATGGTGGCTTGGTGTTTTTGGGAATAGTGACATTTATAGGTACACAAGAGTTTATGAAATGTTGTGGGCTGCATTCTAGGGAAGGTTAGTATTTAACCTACTTTAACCTAATGGGACCTCCTCGGTAAACTTAACAGACTTCCTGGTTTTGAAAATAGGAAACCAAGCCCCAGTTCCAGACAGTACCTGTAGTTTATCTGGAGAGAGTTCCAGGAGTTCTTCTATTCCCCAAGCCAGGCTGTGGCCAGGCTTGATTTGTGATGCAGTAACTTGGTTTAATAGGCTGTTGCTTGGAGTAGCCCTGAAGCCCACATATCCACTACAACCTGGCTGGTTTGGCACTTCTTGCAGAAACTTACCTAATTACTTCTTTAAGAAGTCCACCTATATTCTGGCAGTATCTCTTATGCTTATCAGAAGAGTATTGAACAGCTGTGTACCTCTGATGTTTACAGAGCCACTGGGGCTCCTCCAGAAATTGGAGTTTCATTACATTCATCGCAGATTTTTTTGTTTATATTAAACCTGCTTTGTGTTTACTATTAAAATGCAAAATTTTCTGTTTCAGTTACTAAAGATTTTTTTTTAAATAGCATTTGCACTCCATTGATCTTGTATAAATTGTTCCTTGGACATTTCTCTTTCTCTAAAAAAAAAGTTGATTCAAGGCCTAGCTATACATAATTTATTTATAATATTACCTCTGTCATTTGCATAATGTTATTCCAGTATTGAGTAGCAGAATGTTACTTTAACATTTAATTTTATTTTGGCTTTTATCATTATGTTGTATTAGTGATTTATTATATATTTTTTCAGAGAAAGAAGGGAAGGCCGTTCATTTAGGGTATGCTGAGAAATGTACACTAGTGGGCCTGACCCAGCAAGTGACGCATGGCCCTTATGACCCAATGTCTTCACCTCCTGTTGGAGTTCTGGATGTTGTGGGGAAGGACAGAAGGTATGACCTGGCATGTATATACCTCATGCAAGCATAAACTATTATACACAACCAAAAGGTCTTGAATTTCATACCCATGGCAGGACAGAAACTTCTAGGCATGTTTACTTTCACCTTCTTCCTCTGTTCACCTAGTGGTAAACAGGAGCTTGGAGTTGGAAACTGAAACTTGGAATTTGGCAACTGCTAAAAGAGAAACATGTCAGTTTGCTTAACCACTGAACTGTGCACCGTTCCTGCAGGCGCTCGATGGGGGGTGCGCAAAGCGCCTCCGGGATCTTATATTTTTAGTGTATGATTCAAAACTCCCGCTGCTACATGGGGTTCACATCAACTTCCTCAGGGCTCTTGTAAACAGACACCATATACAAAAAATATCGTGGGCAACATTCCTGGGTGTGAGAGCCTCGGTACTGAGTGAGCAACCAAGGCTGGCACACGCAGCATGAGCTCACAGCACTGCTGTTCAGCTTGTGACCACGCCTAATAATGTCAAAATACCTGTATGTATATAACTGGTATTATTTAGCCATGATAGTATTACAGAAGAGCCTGAGTGTGATAATGACTATGTACAATGTTCAAATATCAGTGAATCAATGCTGTTCACAATGTTCACAGCGCTAGCCACAGCACCACAGCATTATTTCGTCCATTTTGGAATCTTCAAACAACTTCATAAAAGTTGTTTGAAGATTGTTTTACAACTTTACAAAATAAACTTGTGGTCAATTATTCATTTACAGGATTGTGATAATAGCAGGATTGTGGTGATAATTAGCGCAAACCACACCAAATATTTCACTCTTTGACTCCCTGAAAATTGCATAGGGGTCTATAAATTATAATAATTTAACTTAGGCCAACCCCGACCTGCCTATGTTGGTCCTGTACCCCAGACCATTTTCCCTGCAAAGTTGGGTGAGGCTATTCCCAAGCATCTTGCTTCCAACTTTGATCAGATGGACAAACACACACATTGTCTTTCTGGGGGGGGGAGCCCCATCGGCTCCCCAGAGCTATCCAGGCTGAATGGATATGGATAACTTTCTGGCATCAGTCAATGTGCAAGGAGTTCATGCCTACCAGGGACCATGAGCCAGAACCTGGGGCCCTCTCAATAGAGGCACGAGGAGCAACGGCCTATAGAAACCCCTGTGTGGTTGGCAGCATTCTATGTTTGCCATCAGCTGGTTCTGGCACTCAGAAAGGTAGGCACCCCAAAACAAACCCCTATTCTGGTGAAATTATTGGTACCATAAGCCAAACAAGTGGACAGAACTCCCAAAACAAAAATTAGCAAACGAGCATGACATCGTCATGTTGCTGCGCTGCTGTCTGTGCACCCCCCCCTCCCTGTGAGGGGGAAGGGGGAAACCCCAGACCCCCATCCGGTGATCCACCCTTCAGTTCTCAGCCTGATGTGCTACTGGCGTGGTCTTGTGCCTCTGGCTCCAGGAATTTGTCTCAGTTTCTACCTTGTGGTGTGGACTGTCTCAACTGGTGGTGTGCAAGCCAGGAGTAATATTCTTTGGTACTCAGGCTGCATGCACCTAGGACCACCTTTCTCGAGGTGCCCTGTAAGTACTGCCCTTGGGGCTTGGGGCCACCTTCCACAAGTCACCTCGGGATCTACCCCCATTGTGTCTTTTACTGCTCAGTTCTTGGCTGCCCTTGGAGTCAACTGGGGTCTTTGTTGCCCGTGTTTGCCTCTGGCTAGGGGGTAGTTTTTGCCACTGGTAGGGGCACAGGGTACTGCACAGCTAGTTTTCACCTCTTACAGCGGCCAGCTTTGTTCCATATGGGTATGTTGTCATCCTGCGGGGTTTTGCTTTTGTTTTTCTGCCTGGTGAGGGGGTTTCCCGTGGTAGTTGCCCCTTCTGTGTTGGGGTGTATATATCTATCATTATGCCGAATACTGATGCCTCCTATCGTGTGGTGCTGTCGAAGCTGCTCCAGCTTGCATTTAGTATTGATGTTACATTTGCTCCGTTCTGCATGTTGTCTCGTGCGTTGTTTCACCTCCGGCCTGCTGATGCGTTGCCCGAGCCCTCTTGGTTCTTAGACCGAGTGCTCTTTTTCCTCTTTTCTCCTCAGTTTGTGGTGGCTCCTTCGGTTCAGAATTGTTTTTCCAAGGCTCTTTTCCTGTTGGCATTGGCCTCTGGAGGTCGGGGAGCTTCATGCACTCCTCTGGCGCAGGGGTTTCTGCTCTTTTGGTCCTGGTGGTAGGCTTGTTCGGTTGCAGCCGTCTCCTTTCTGGCGAAGAATGAGACTGCTGCTTTCAGGAGGGGTCCTTGGGTTGTTGATGCTTGGTTGGTCAGGCTGGGGATACATCATGTTTTGTTTCCGGTTGCAGCTCTCCACCGTTAGGCAGGCGATGAGTCACAATAACGTGGCTGAAGTATGTTGACCAGACCACACACTAGAAATTGAAGGGACGACGACGTTTCGGTCCGTCCTGGACCATCCTCAAGTCGATTGTCAATCGACTTGAAGATGGTCCAGGACGGACTGAAACGTCGTCGTCCCTTCAATTTCTAGTGTGTGGTCTGGTCAACATCTCCACCGTTATTTGCGCACCACGGCTTCGGTGAACGGGAAGGCGCTGTGGGTTGATCCAGTTTCCCCTTCTTCCCAGGCTCGGGTCTCCCAGGTCGTCTGCAGGATTATTAAGGCTAGGCAGCCTGTGGTCTATCCTCATGCCCACGACGTGCATAAGTTTGCTGCTTTGGCTGCCATCTTTGGCAACATGCCCTGGGTTGACATTCGGGCACGGGGTTTTTGGAGGTCGAACAGGGTCCTGGCCTCTCGCTACCTTGTCAATGTCCCTGGACCTCGTAGGCCCTGCGTTGCATTGGGTCGGTGGTTGCAGCCAGTGGTCTCGGCTTCTCGTTGAGGAGTGAGGACTGACCGCCGCCTGGGTAAGTCCCCATTTTTCCTTGTCTTTGGGTAGTTAGCTCTGGGGAGCCGATGGGGCTCCCCTCGGAAAACCAGCGTTGAATGTAATGAAACTCCTTTTTCAATGTGAGTCAAGAGGCTCCCTGGCATCCCTCCCTCCGGTTGGCGGTGTTTTTGCATATTTTGACATCCAGCCTAAGAACTGCAGGGTTGATCACCGGCGTGGGGTCTGGGGCTCCCCCTTCCCCCTCCCGGGGAGGAGGGGGGGTTGCGTAGACAGTGGCGCGGCGACATGATGACGTCATGCTCATTTGGAAATTTTTGTTTGGGGAGTTCTGTCCACTCCTTCGGCTTTCGGTAGCAATAGCTTCACCAGAATAGGGGTTTGTTTTGGGGCGTCTACCTTTCTAGGTGTCTGATCTGGTCGATGTCAGACATAGAATGCTCCCAACCACACGGGGGGTTTCTATAGGCCATTGCTCCTCGTGCCTCTATTGAGGGGGCCAGGTTCTGGCTTATGGTCCCCGGTAGGCAAGAACTGATGACTGATGCTAGAAGGCATCAATGTGTCAATATAGGCACATTGACTGATGCGAGAAAGTTATACATATCCATTCTGCCTGGATAGCTCCAGGGAGCCTCCGGACTCGCTCAGAAAATGGCATTTCATTACATTCAACGCTGTTTTTTTTTTTATATAGAGTAGGTGGGTACTTGCCTGTGCCTGGTCTTTCTTCCCCCCTGCCCCACTCCCAATTTCCCCCCCTCTTATCTCTTTCCATATTCCTCTCCATCTGCCACCTCTAACGTTCTTTCCCTACTAGCTCCCCTCACTTCCCTTTCACACCTCTTGCCTCTCTCAATCTCTCACCTCTTTTCCTATCTTCTCACACTCTCACCTCCTTCCCCTGTTCCCACTCTTTCCTCTTCCTTCTTCAAATAAACTCCCCTTCCAATGGTAAACCTAAAATTTGTGGGCCATGAAGCTTGAACTATTATAGGGGGTAGGGGGGGCCTTCTGCAACCAGCAACGAGGTCTGGGTAACCGCTGTTATCTTCTTAAATGGGGGTCGTTTCATGTCGGATCACAATTTTATTTTTAATTTACCACTACATCTCAGATTTTTATTACATCTGAGATGTAGACCCAAAATTTTTAAGCAATATGAGCTAAAGTTGCTTCTGGGGGGGGAGCCATCCAGGATTATGGGCCCTGAAGCTTAAGCCCCATTAGTTTCCTTGTCGATCTGCCCCATTCTCCTTCCCTCTCTTTTTTAACATACCCTTTCCTTCCCCCTCTCTTTGAACATGCCCTTTCCTTCCCCTCTTCCTGCTTGTTCTTCCTTCTCTCCCTGTCTGTCTTTGTTTTTCTCTTTGTTTTCCTGTGTGTGTATTTTTGCCCAGGTCAACCCAGTGTCGTGTCTCTGCATGCCTATCGCTGAGTCTCTGTTCTTTTGCTGTCTCTGTCTGTCTGTCTCTTATATTATTTTTGTCTTTACTGTATTGGGTGCAGGTGGTCTGTGGGAGAAGCCCAATGGTGTGAAATATTAAAAAAATATATAATATTTAATCAGTTTGCTTTGAGAAAGAGGTGCATGAGAAAGCCTTTAAAGCTGTGGAAGGCTCATCTGTTTTATGCTACTATGGCCAAAGTATGAATGGCAGAAATTGTTTGAATTTTACTGAGATAGCAAATAATGGTGTATACTGTTTTACTATAACTTTTTTTTTTATATAATTATTTAGATAGGGGAAGCCAGTGGGCACCGCCAAAAATCATTGTGGGGGGTCAGAATTTAAAACTGGTACGCTGTTCCCTTTTAAATTCTGGTGACCCCAAACAGTCTATGTTCACTCTGTTCCCCCCACCTTCAAAGTTTTGTGCGGCTAGTCCCAAGTGTCTTGCCAACCAGCTTGGTCTTGGACAGAGAGACAGACAGACAGACATTCATTCTCTCTAATAGATTTAAATTGGTAACAGTATATTACATTATTGATGTGCTTTTTAGGTGTATTGTACATTAAAAAAATAAGATGTAAATATGATACTGTAGTTTTTTAAATTGGTAGATTGGCATGGCAGGCTCTGGGATCCATGAGCAGAGAAGAAGCCAAGCAGCAGTTTATTGACAAAGTAAGCGATCTGGTGCCAACTTTCCGTCCTTACGTTGAGGCTCTGTGGGCTGACAAACTGGAGAAGGAAAGACTAGCGTAAGTGAATTGTTTTGCAATTTCATTGTCCTTAATAAAAATATTATTTAAAAATACAATTTCTAGCTTAAGGGCACATACTGTATGTGATTAAGTTTAAAGCAGAGTTTCTGGAAAAGCCATCTGAAACAAACTTTTCCAGATATCCTATGATGGAATATCTTAGCAAATTTTATTTTAAGATATGTTACTCTGGCATCTATGATTTATTTTATTAAATGCATTTATTATCATCATTATACAATCGAAGCATTTCTTTCATTTTAAAATATTATTTGTTTAACAGTACTACTTCTACAACTACTAATAACAGGTAAAGGAAGAAGTGAGTGTAATAATAGACATAACAAAAATTATTTTATAAAGATTCCTAAACTTATGCCAGAAATTAACCATGCAAAGCATCAGACTCCACCAATACTAAAATATTCAGCAAAAGGTTGCATATTGAATTAGCAATGCAGTACAGTACTCCCTTGTTATCACACCGAAAATTTATATAATTTATTCCTTAACCACTTAACTGCACCAACCGAGTATTCTCGGTCGGCGGGAAACTGTGCCAACTGAGAAAACTTTTTTTTGATTTTCGGTACCAATTCTAAATGTGTACGAGGTTGGTTGTGTACGAAATGGACTCTTAGGACCTCCAGTGAGAGGCAGCCATCTTGGAAAAAATTCCCAGAATGCTTTAAGGCTGCTGGCTGGGTTAGTACTGAATGAGCAACCATTTGTGGCGCACACGCCTCTGGCTCCCAAACACCTGTCCGACGCGGTGTTGAAACATAACGCTCTGTCGGTGAAATTCAAACCTTATTGTTTGAAGAACATAAGGGTCATAATATTGGCAAAAATTTATCTGTACCTGGTGCACTGAGAGCGAAGTCGCACGGTGTACCATGGACTACTTCGATGATTATTACTCGCTTCCGAAGTACTGAGTATGTAATACAGTGTGTTACTGTGTAAATAGTGTGTGAAACTGTACATATTGTAATTTTAGGGAATTTTTAACAGGTAATATTGCGACAATAAACATTTATTGTGGACACATTACTGACACATGCATCACAGTTCCATGGAACATTATGAACGTTCTACTGTATACTATTATAGTCTTGTGGGTTGGCTGTGTGTTGTCGTCGTTGATCCTTCTCTACGGACAACCCAACCCACAACTTGGTAGAGTGCTTATACCTCGCTAGGAGATCACCCTTGGCGCTTCTGGCTCTTGGAGAGGGGCTCAACGTCACACGTTTAGGGAATGCGGCTCCAACACTTAGCCTCGTTTGCAGGCGATGAGTCACAATAACGTGGCTGAAGTATGATGACCAGACCACACATCGACTTGATGTGTCCTGTCAAGGTCCAGTCTTGATGTGGTCACATCAAGTCGATGTGACCACACATCGACTTGATGACCAGACAATCGACTTGAGAATGGTCCAGGACGGACCGAAACGTCGTCGTCTCTTCAATTTCTAGTGTGTGGTCTGGTCATCACTTAGCCTCGTTGTCACGTGCACACACCCACTCGAGCCGCTGTGACTCCCCACTCTCTCCTTATGAGATATGATCTCCTCAATCCCTTATGACTTACTAGTATTACCTTCTACCCTGTCCACAGCAGTGGTTCTTGGTTCTTTCTCTCCTTCTTTACTACCTCCTGGGAAGCCTCACTAGGACAAGGGCAAACACCAGCAAATTGGGATACATTTACTGGACAAAGCACATACACGATACATACACACATATAATAATAATGAATCCTATACTCTATAATATTACAATCAGGTTGCACTCCAACACCATCAGAACTCTATCATCAGCTTATCAAGTGGTATCCTATCTCCTGGTTCACCACCTGATACTATCAACCTCCTCAAGTTGATCAAGTCTACATACACTGTTGCACCATCAGCAAGAGAATATATATATATGTATCTATAAATGTGTACAAAGAAAATCAGCATATGAATGCAATAACACGTATCAGTATAAATGTTCATTGATACACAACAATGATCAATCGATCACTCTATCAGTCCTAGAACGCCTACGTCTGTAGGTAATCCAGCCTACGTCTGTAACTCTAAACTTCAGTATAAAACACTCCTTGACATAAGAATGCAAACAGTCACTCACCTCTCACTGCGTCTTGCACGCTAATGACAACCAAACACTATCAACTCCCTACAAGTAATCCACCAGAACTCCCTTCCACCTCTGGAAGTTCACTACCCTAATATCTTTAGGTTCTTCCGGGCTTCACTACCAGGATCCTCTGCAGCTCCTCCAGGCTGCTATCATGAAGTTTCCTTGTGCAACTACGGTGCTTCACCCTTCTGCTAGGTTCCTCCACAGCTCTCTTGGCTGCTACACCATGAAGTTTCCTCGAGCAACTATGGTACTTCTCCACCTCTACAGAAGCACGTGACACTCCTCTTCACTGCTTCTCCTCACAGCTCGAGGTCCTCTGCTTCACTACCTTGGAGTCTCATCAATTACTTCATCTATGCTGGCTTCGAAGTTCTCAGCAACTTCTTCCCCAAAGACAAACCTGCAACCCATCGACACTCCAATAAAAATGTTCCCCATTAACACATAAACAAAAATAACCACACAATATGCTTGCCTCAAACCTCTATCTGTCCTCTACATACAGTGAGAGTGGACTCCCCCGTTTTGGGCGGGTCCATACTCCACCTCACCTGGCGGCGGTCCTCACTCGCTGGGAGGGTCTTCCTCCGTCAGGAGCCGGGCTCCCTCAGTCGTCTGTCAGAGCTCAGAGGGGACGGACGTCGCTCCGTGTTCCTCCCTCTCCACTCTCTTATTTCAGGCTTTCTGCCTTATTAAAACATGTCTAACTTATAAATAAACATCGCTACTGTCGCTGGGCACACGACCAACTACAAGCAATCACTATGAACTGGCGTATATCGTGCTTACCACAGATCGTCTGGTCGAGGGCGCTCCTTCCTCTGACGAGGCTTGGTCAGGGCGCTTCCACGGCCCACAATAATGCCTCTGGGCGATTTAATAAACACTTCGTCGACCAGGACTTGAGACCACAACGTTCTCAGCTCAATTCCACAGCTGGCACGTCTGCACACTTCTCTTCTCTTAGAGATATATCACTAGGGGTTCCCTTCTGACGGGAGCTCAAACGGAGCGCGGCTTTCCCCTGCGATGTCTGGCACTCAAGTGAGGTCAAGGTCCTCCGGAAGCGAGCCTCACGCCTCCAGCAAAATGTCCACATCTCCTAGCCAGTCATTTATCTGTTTTCTTCTTCATTGCCCATAATCTCAAACTGCTCATTGAATCCACCATACCATTTTTCATATGGGTTATCACCTCAATATTTGCTAGACCTTCTAGTTAGGTCAGGCTTGCTGAATAACTCTCAAGGAGGGAGACTCGTTTCTCCTGCAGGCTGAGATCATAACAATACATATTATAAAGAACACAAATATGCATCATATACGATAAAAAAAAACAAATAAAACCGCATTGGAAACACATAAATCAAATAATTGAAAATATATTTGTGGCAACACCCGGTGCTTGAATGGCCCGCGCGACCGTTTCTTGGCGAGTCACGCATGGGCGACCAGGCCCTGATGATGTCACAAAGCACCTTGTCTATTTTCCCCATAGCCAAAGTAAGTGGAATTTGGTATTTATTTTTACATAGACATGTTCAGGGAAGGGATTTTATCATTTTACTAAGAAAAAAGAATTTTTTGGGAACACTTTATTTCACGGGCACTGGCGGACTTTCACAATAAACTAGACACAGCACGGTGGTTAAAGCACTGTGCTAATGTAATGTGGTGAGTAAGATTGACCTTATAAATGAATACCTCAGTAGGAATATATTGTTTAAGCAAAATTATTTCCATGTGATACAGTGAGAAAACCTTTGCAAATTGGCTTGAAAGTTTATAAACTGACATTTATGGTAAAATCAATGTTCATTTTGCCGATGGTTTATATAGCCCCTTGGGTTGCAGATATTAGAACTAAAGATATTAGAACCCATCATTGGGTGCTAGTTGTTTCAAACAAATAAATGTAGCTGCACTAAATTTTAACACACATGCACTAATGCCAAGGTGTCCTTCCTGAAGTTACAATTTTGGTTGCTACCCTAAGAATTTTTGCACTGAGCCATTTCTGTGGGGGTAACCCCTACAGCTCCCTGGAGATTATCGGGCTAATGTACAGGCATACCTCAATTTAAGAGTTTAATTGGTTCCTGGAGACGCCTCGTATTCCGAAAACTCGCATTCCGAAGCTAATTTCCCCATAAGAAATACTGTAAAGGGAAATGAATTAATCCGTTCCTGACTACCCCAAAAACCCCACATCAAACTAAATTTTTATACCTAATTCATCTAAATAAACCTACAAAACTATGTTCCAGTTATTACTTACCTTGCTGTTGAGTGCTGTAGGCGTATGGAAGATGGTGAGGAGGGGGGAGGAGAAGAGGAGTTACTGTTTGGAAGGGGAGTTCCCTTCCATTATCACATCAGGCAGTGAGGACCTTTCTGGTGTGCTCTCCCTGGGACGTTTTATCTGAGTGCCACTAGGTCCTGGTTGAGGCTCACTGTTCGATTTCCTCACCACAAATCTGTCCATGGAAGCTTGCTTTTCCCTTCTTCGCAAGCTCTCTCTGTAGTAAGGCATCACATTGTCATTGAAAAGATTAAGACAACGGCCTACTACAGCTTTCTCTGGGTGAGTCTTTTCAACAATTGTTTGAATCACTTCCCACATCTGACACACCTTCTTAATTACTGCAGAAGGGACATTCGCTGCTGCTGCTGCCACCTCCTCCTCCACTGCAGAATCATCTGCTGCTGCGTTGGCTTGCTGTTCCTGTTGAAGGGCTAGGAGTTCTTCGGTGGTCAGTTCTTTGTTGTGTTCTTCCACCAACTCCTCCACATCATCACCATCCAATTCCAAGCCCATTTGCTGGCCTAGACTAACAATTT